GAAGAAGGGCAGCGACACCCTGTACAGTCTCCGCGGAAGACGGAGACTCTATGCAAATCTATCCGAAAATGCAAGTCCGTATCGCTGGACCGTACGTACTTCAACAGACGTGTTCCCTGCTCACATGCGTTCTTCGTCGATCGGTAAACGTGACTCTAGTTAGTTACTGGCCAATTAATGGCTTCGGACTATCGGTACCGATGACGGTGATCCCTAGTTCGTTGCAATGGATCAGACTCTACCAGACGTTTCAGAGAGACTGGAGTGTCCTCTACAGTCTCTGCCAGCCGTCACCGAATGGCTGGGTGTGTACTTATACTATTTACCAGTCGTCACTGAAGGCATATACGCGTTTCTACAGTCCCTACCAGTCGTCACCGAAGGACTGGGTGCTACTCTATAGGGTAGACTATGAGTCTACAGTGTCTACCAGTCGTGACCGAATGACTGGGGGTGTCTTATACTATACTATGGCCAGTCGTGACCAAGTTCTATACTGTCTACCTGTCGTCGCCGAATGACAGGACGCGTATCTATAGTGTAAACTATCAGTCTACAGTTTCTGCCAGTCGTGACCGAATGACTGGGAACGTATCTACCGTTTATGCTAGCTATCTACAGTTTCGGCCACTCGTTGCCGAATGACTGGTAACGTATCTACAGTTTATGCTACTCGACTATAGTAACTACCTGTGATGACCGAAAGACTGGATATTTTTATGAATTATTTATGCAAAACTGGATAAACTTTTGAAATGACTGGTTTTCATAGGTCTGATCGAACTATTAGGGATTAAATAATTCACTGAATCGAATGCACACATAATAAAAAATTGACAAAATTTATTGCTATTAGTGACTGGTGTACATTAATAATACGACTAAAAAATCGTTATCGCAAGTCAATCTGAGTAATTACGGATCTGTCAAGGTATCCCTAGTGAAAGACGCGGGCACTAGGAAGCGCGGGTACGTCGGAATCTATCGTGACGCGTCGGAAATGGCGGCCGCCTTTGTGAAACCCGATGCCGCCTTTGATCTACGACGCGTGCCGACACCGCACTGGGCTAACGACGCTACTCGCACTCGCGGTAATTAGCGCGCCGGGAGGAGGATGCTGCGTCCGTGCTGTAATGGCATGCAATTGCGCGGGATACTCGTAACGGCTACGCCGCACTTACCGCCCTGAAGGCGGGGGAAGGGAGGACGTCGTCCTACGCGGCCCTGCGAGCTCGTATCTCCGCCTACGGCTGCGACCCTTGACCCTCTAAGTGGTAATCCCAATTAGGCACTAGCACTAGATGCGCTAATTGCGCCAGCACTCGCGTCGCGGGTGCACGCGATGGCGTATTACGCCGGATGACGCAATGTATAATAGGCAGTACGGTACGCTCTCCGATCCGTATGAGGCGACTGCCTGTCCCCGACTCCTCGATCCATTGTTCGGGGGTCCCCTTTATACCTTTGGGATCACGTGATGCCCGTCCGGAGGGGATATCCCCAGTTTTAGCCCGCGGAGCCAGTGAGTACCAAATTAACTGGTCTCTATTATTTATTAAATTAGCGGGTTCACGCTTCCGCCGCTATGCTAGTCGCTCCGCGTGCTATCAGATAATTAACGCCTCAAACGGTAAACATAAAAATAACACTTGCGTCAATCCGATTGCACGAATATAACTAAAAATATAATAATCTCGCGCTGAGCCATTCGGAGGGTGCTGCATTCGCCCCATGGCTCCTATATTGCATGCAAATACTGCGGTCTGTTCGGCAGACCGCTCGCTAAGCGTAGGCGGGTCTCCCATTACTCTGAGAGATTGTTTTCTACTATTTTTATTGCTTTTATCCTGTCGACACCTTTTTACCGGGCGTCGAACCACCGACCCTCTTCGATCTATACGCGCGCATCCAGTTGACCAGTGGTCACTATTTAACCGGGATGACGGTATCCCAGTCGCTTATTTGCCGATGTTTACGCATCCAGTCGGCCGGTCGACACCTTCTTACTGGTAGTCGTTTTCCGACTTCCGAACTTCCGAGTACCCAGTCGACCAGTGGTCGCCTTTTTACTGGGATGTCGGTATACCAGTCCCTCACTTACCGATGTTCGTACATCCAGTCGACCAGGGGTCGCCATTTGACAGGTGGCCGGTTTCTCTCTTACCGACGACTGTATTTCCAGTCGACCATAGGTCACCATTTGACTGGTGGCCGGTTTCTCCCTTACCGACGACTGTATTTCCAGTCGACCATAGGTCACCATTTAACTGGTGGCCGGTTTCTCCCTTACCGACGACTGTACTTCCAGTCGACCATAGGTCACCATTTGACTGGTGGCCGGTTTCTCTCTTACCGACATATGCACATCCAGTCGACCTGTGACTGGTGCATCTTGCTCCTGGTCGATCTCCGACTGGTGGACTTGGTTCCTACTGGTAGGCCAGTGAGGCCCTTGGAACGCCCTGGCTGGTGCTTCGCACCCAGTTGAACACCGACTGGTGTTTTCTACTACCGGTCGTCTTCCGACTGGTATTTCTGGGTTCGGCTGATCTCGTTAGCCGAACACTACCTATTCTAGTGGTCAGGATCTTTCTGGTTACCTGGATAACGGTCAGGTTCCAGATAGCACAGGCTGAAGGCCTGGTATCGGTTCGTTGGGTTAGGTTAGTTGTTTTTTTTTAGTATGGTTAGGTTAGGTTAGGTTAGGTTAGGTTAGGTTAGGTTAGGTTAGGTTTTTTTTTTAGTATGGTTAGGTTAGTATGGTATGGTTAGGTTTTTTTTTTTTTTTTTTTAGTATGGTTTTTTTTTTTTTTTTTTAGTATGGTTAGGTTAGGTTAGGTTAGGTTAGGTTAGGTTAGGTTAGGTTAGGTTAGGTTAGGTTAGGTTAGGTTAGGTTAGGTTAGGTTAGGTTAGGTTCAGAGGCTGGGGATATCCAGCCTCCACCGCCCACGGATCAGGCAGGGCCAGGGGCGGGTGGAGCGACGGCCGCTCCAACTGCGCCGGACCCTCCTCCGGCGGTTATGCCGGAGGGGGTCTCCGAGGCGGCGATGATGGAGGAGGTTGAGGCCTCAGTCTCCCTCCTAGCGGAGGCGGGATGGGAGGAGTGGGGGGGTTATGAGCGCGGATAGCTCTCCCCACCTACTCCCTCATCCCAGGCCCATGGGATTTGCCGGTGTGGTAGTGGTCTCGCAGTGCTAGAGACCCCCGCACCGGGACCCATGGGCCAGGAAGGAGCGGTCAAGAGTGGGCCGACCCCTTGCGGGAACACTCCTGACCGCGCTAGGAGGGACAGCCTTCCCCCCAGGGTGTAACCCCGAATCCGTTGTGATACGGAGGAGGGGGGAGCCCTGGGGGGGGAAGACCCACCCCCCGGGGGGTGGGTGCTGCAGGTTCCCCCTCGGTTCCTCACCGAGGGGGGGGTTTGAGGGGGTCCCAATTTGGGACCCCAACACACCTTTCCTCCCCGTGGGTGCCACCTTGACGTGGTGGGGAGGCTTGAAGGTCCCGATGATGTACAGAGCTGTGCCGGCGGGGGTTTCGGCCCCTGGCAGGTTCTACCAAGCCGGAGTGGTCTGTACGGAGGGACTGGACCAAGAGCACCCGACCGGGCTGAGTGACCAGCCTGGTCCATGACCAGCACGGTCACAGAGCGGGTGGGAGGAGATCATCATCCCTGAAGGCATTGCACGCCGGTGCTCCGGCAGCCGACAGGGATGACCTCCTCCACACTCGCTCCAGGAAGGGGACCTCTCTCTCCGAGGCATTGCACGCCGGTGTTCCGGCAGCCTCGGAGAGAGAACCCTTTCCTCCCGCCTCGGTTGGACCGTTACGGTTAGACCGGGGCGGAGGGACGTACCCGCATCCAGGGCTCCACCCCATGGGGATCCTCCTCCCCCGTGGCGCCTGAGATGCGGAGGGGTACTCCGGGCCGCTCGGACGTTTCCGAGGTCGGGGTCGGGGTACGCTGCCGCGTCCTGAGAGATCCCACCCTCCTAGGCATTGCACGCCGGTGCTCCGGCAGCCGAAGAGGGGAGGATCTCTCTCCCTCGCTCGTCCCAGCCACGGCTGGGCGAACGAAGGATCCCACACCCGGGTCTGCACACCGTGCGGGACTATTCCCACGGTACCTGGGGGGTGGAGGGGATATCCCGGGCCGCTCGGACTTATTCCGAGGTCTGGGTCGGGGCACCCTAGGGTGACGAGGGGAGAGGACCCCACCTTCGTCTCGAAGGTGGACTCCCCGACTTCCCTCACCCGTTCGGCCTCGGTCGGACGGACAGAGGAACCCACACCCGGGTCTGCACACCGTGGGGCTTGCCCCACGGTACCCGGGGGGTGGAGGGGTGTCTCGGGCCGCTCGGACGTATTCCGAGGTCTGGGTCGAGACACCCTCATGCGCCGATCAGAGGACTCATTCCCGGAGGCATTGCACGCCGGTGCTCCGGCAGCCGAAGGGAACGATCCTCTCCCTCATCCGTCCTGGCCACGGCCAGGCGGAGAGAGGTACCCACACCCGGGTCTGCACACCGCGAGGGTTTGGAACCCCTCGCGGTACCCGGGGGGTGGAGGGGTGCTCCGGGCCGCTCGGACGTATTCCGAGGCGGGGTCGGAGCCCCTGTGTGCTGTGCCCGAGGGAATGCGATCGCATCACCCTAAAGCGGACCCTCGGGCGGCGCGAGCACGCTGGCTGCCATGGGGGAGACGTTCCCGGTGGGGTGCGACACCGGTGAACTATCTCCTTCCATGGGGCCCCCCGCGTGGCGGCGCTCTGCACGGTGCCCACATTGTCGGAGGTGTGGGACCCCCGAAAGCGGTCTGGCCACCAGAGATGGTGGTCAGGGCGCGTGTAGGGGGCGGGAGGCCTGTGCCGACGATGTCATATTCCGTCGGCCCGTGCCATATGGTGCTCCTCCGGGGGAACTCGGAGGCTCCCCCTTGCCGGGGGGATGCGGGCATGCCCGGGCACCGGAGCCGTGCAGAGTGGTGGGTTTTAAACCACAATGACTGATTTCTTAAACTCCTCAAACTTTGACTCATCGGATACGGAATTAAATACGACGACCCAGGCTAGTAAAATGGACACGAGAAGCCGAGCTGGCAAAAGCCAGACTACGGTAAGGAGGGAGGGGCTTAGGAGTGCTAAGTCCCAAGAGGTAAAAAAGGCGGGCGAGATTTGCGACAGCGACAGGTCCAGGTCCAGATCTAGATCGCCTATCAAGATCGATGAGTCGACGCCGTTTACCACCTCTAGGGAAGAGGACTCTGATGATGGTAAAAAAGCCATCAAGAAGAGAGAAGGAAAGTGGGAGATCCCTAGAGACGAGGATGAGAACACGGACGAGGAACGCCTCATAGAGAAGGCCACTAGAGGCAGGGGCAGGCCGGAGACAACGGGGGGATTCCGCCTTAAGAAGGAATTTATGGCAAGAAAACAGGCCATAATAGCGCAACAAAGGGAAGAATTCCTACTTAAAGGCATGGAAAACCCGACGGAGGAGTTTCAGGATTGTACCTCTAATAGAAAGTACAAGGCTGAAATTAAACGAATAACGGAACACTTAGAGGAGGCCCCTTTCCGAGACGTAACGGCGTCCATATTGGAAGCATCTACCAAAGTGTTGGGCTTTTCGCAGAAATCGAAGAGTCTCAAGGGCACGCACGTAAAGGCACTTAGAGACGCTGCGGCGGCGATTACGGCAGGAGCTAACGTTATGGCCATGCAAATGGCGCATGACAAATGTGGGGACAATCTAGACCTCATAGAGGAGCTTCGGGCGGAGAACGCGAACCTAAAAGCGTCTCTAAAGGAAATGAAAAAGGAGCTGGAGGAAGTGAAGGAGATGCTCCGCGGTATAAGGGAGGCTCCGCTGCATGTAGCGGTGTCCTCCCCGCCCGCGAAGCACCCGGGGAACGTGAGTCAGGGTGTGGGAGAGACACCGCGGCGTGTACCGAGTGCTCCCCCGCCCCTGACCTACGTAGAAAGGGAAAGGGCGATAACTCCACCCGCGGTGGACATGATGGAGGAGGAGGAGGAGGCACCGATAGGGATCATAGAGGTGCAAAAGGGGTTGATCCCAAGGGAGAGGAGACGCCCAATAAGGGAGAAAAAGGAAGCCAGGGTCGCAAAATCAGGCCCCAAAGTCAGAGAGAACATCCTCCTGGACAAAAGGGTGAGAATAGAAAGAAGGGAAGAACCAGAGAGGAATGAAAGGAAGGGACTGGAGGGCAACATAACACAAATGGTGTTCAAAGCCTTAAACGAGTGGAAAGCACAAGTAAAGGAGCTTCCCAAAAAAGGGGCCGGGAAAGAAGAAAAGGCAAAGGGAGTGGTGAGCCAGGGTGTGGTACAACAACAGCGGGGAAACAAATACGAACAGGAGTACCCACAACTACCACCCACACGAGCCCAAAGAAAGGAGCAGCAGGCGCAGAAAACTCCCACACCACAGGAAGAAATGTGGACGAAAGTAGTGGGTAGGAGGGAAAGGAAGATGGAAAAAGAAACGCAAAAAAGGCAGGAAATAAAAAGGGTGATAAATATAGAAAGAAAGGAGGGGAAGAAAAATAGGAGGAGAGTCCCCAACACGGCGGCGGTAAATATTACCGCCGAACGAGAGCAGTATAAGGACCTATTGACGGAAGCTAAAAGCAAGATCGATCTCAAAGGGATTGGGATCGAGAAGATCAGGACAAGAGTGGGGGCCACCGGCGCCTTGGTGATAGAGATACCGGGGGAGCATAGGGGCACACAGGCGGATCAACTTGCCAATAAACTAAAGGAGGTACTGGCAGATAAAGCCAAGATCAGTAGACCCCAGAAAATGGGAGAAATAAGAGTGAAAGGAATGGAGATATCCACTACGGAAAATGAAGTGGCAGAGGCTGTTGCCAGAGTAGGGGGATGCCAGACAGGAGAGGTGAAAACCGGTAAAATGAGAGTGGCCTGGAACGGGTACCGGACCTTATGGGTACAATGCCCCCTCGTGGTGGCGAAGAAGGTTGCGGAGGAGAGAAAATTAACAATAGGATGGGCGCTAACAAAGGTGGAACTATTGCAGGCGAGAGCACTACAGTGTTTCAAGTGCATGGAGAAAGGGCATGTACAGGTTAACTGTAAGAATAGCAAAGACAGACGCGCAAACTGCTATAGATGTGGAGAAATTGGACACCTGGCTCGGGATTGTAACTCCAGAGTCAGGTGTCAGATTTGTGCGGAGGTTGGCGTCCAGTCGAACCACAGGATGGGGGGGCCATCCTGCCGTCCCCCAAAGAGGAGGAAGAATATCCCTGGGGATGCAGTGGAAGGGGGTATGGCGACCGCACCGCCGCCACGAGACCCTCCTGCATCCCCAGAAGAGAAAAGGAAAGAGGAGGAAGGAAAGAAGAGGGAGAAGGAGGCAAATAGGGAACCGGAGCCAGAGTCCCAGCCTCCTCTCCCTCAAAGGAAGCGGAGAACCTCGCTCCCTCTTTCGCCCCCCACACGTGTCCCCACTGAAGGTGGGAGCATGGAGGTGGACGAGAAAAGGGGGGAAAAGAGAGTGAGGCCCACAGAGAGAGAGGATACCGACGGCGAACAGCCGGGGGAAAAAGTGGTGGTAATCACGGTACCAGATAATGGAGACTAGATTATTACAAGGGAACCTGCACCGCGCCCGTCAAGCGCTCCCCCTGTTCGAGCATACTATGACGGAGCGCGGTGCAGGCTTAGGAATAGCGGCAGAGCCCCACCATGTCCCCAGGAACCGCAGATGGTTCGGGGACGAGTTGGGCTCTGTCGCTATTGTGTGGAAGGCGAGCAGCCGCTCACCCCCTGCCAAATATTTGGACCGCGGCAGGGGGTTTGTTGTGGCCAGGTGGGGAGCCGTCACCGTGGTCGGGGTATACCTCCCCCCAGCAAAGAGCCTGGGCTTGGTAGATTACGAGTCCAGGCTCCAAGAAATGGGAGATGTCATCAAGAGACATCTCCCGGGTCCTGTCATCGTCGCCGGCGATTTCAACGCCAAATCGGAGCTGTGGGGCTCCCGGCGCGATGACAGGAGGGGGGAGGTAACTGCGGATTGGGCCGTGGGCCTAGGTCTGCACATAATGAATGATGGTGTAAAATCCACATTCGTGGGGTCGAGGGGGGAGTCTATTATAGACTTGTCTTGGGCGACCCCCTCGGCCCTGCGAAGGGTGCGGACCTGGAGGGTGGCGGAGGAGCTCGAATCGTTGTCTGACCATCTCTTGATAGAGATGGAGCTCTCCGTCACCCCCGATGGCCTACGGCCCCGTAATAAGGACGGACCCCGGCCCGGTAGATGGGCTCTGGCCCAGCTGAACAGGGAGGACTTGGAAATCTCCCTGATGGGCTCCACCTGGCCACAAAGGAAGGACGGGCAGGACCTTGACTCTGAGGTCATGGAGGTTATGCAGGTTCTCGCACTCGCGTGCGATGCCTCCATGCCCAGAGTCAGGGCCTGCCCAAAACGATGCGCCTGGTGGTGGACCGAAGAAATTGCCGCGTTGCGGCGGAGGTCGGTCCACCTCAGGCGCGCGTTCAGAGCGGTACGCTGGGACGCGGACCCTGAGGTCACTCTGGCCGCCCGGCAGGAGTTCTGCGCTGCAGCGAAAGAACTCCGGAATGCCATAGGGGTGGCCAGAGGAAAGGGGTGGGACAACCTCCTCCTCTCGCTGGACGCGGATCCGTGGGGGCGCCCATACAGGATGGTGATGCAAAAGCTGAGACCATGGGCGCCCCCTCTGACGGAGACGCTTGACTCCCGGTTCCTGGGACGGGTGATGGGGACCCTATTCCCGGTTGGGGGGGAAGACCCCATCACCCAGTACACAACCCCCTCCCCCGAACAACAGGGGGAGGTTCCGGGAGTCACCGAGGAGGAGGTGGCCGAGGCTACCAAAAGGGTCAAGAGCGGGAAAGCTCCGGGACCCGACGGTATCCCCGGCCGTGTCCTCACCCTGGCCTCAGGGTACATGAGCGGCAGGCTCGCCAGCCTTTTCACAAAGGCAGTGAAGGAACGAAGATTCCCCCCAGTCTGGGGGAGGGCCAACGTGGTCCTCCTCCGAAAAGAGGGCAAGCCGGAGGAATCCCCCTCCGCGTACCGGCCCATATGCCTCCTGGATGAGGCGGGCAAGCTCTTTGAGCGCATAATAGCAGCCCGCCTCAAGAGGCATATGTCCCGGGAGGGTCCTGACTTAGGTGACGGCCAGTATGGCTTCCGAGAGGGCAGATCAACTGTGGATGCAGTGTTGCATCTCAAGTCCCTCTCGGGGGCCATAGTGTCGGAGGGCAGGGTGGCGGTCGCGGTATCCCTGGATATCGCGAACGCGTTCAACACCCTGCCCTGGGGTAGGGTGGTGCAAGCGATGAGGGGTTATTTCCGCTTCCCACCCTACCTCACGGCCGTCATAGAGGACTACTTCCGGGGTCGGCGTCTCACGTGGATGGACGCCGATGGCACGGTGCGAGAGAGGGGGATGAGTCGTGGGGTCCCACAAGGTTCGGTGCTGGGGCCCCTATTATGGAACATTGGTTACGACTCAGTCCTCCGGACAGCCCTCCCCCCGGCTGTAGCACGCTGTGCTACGCCGATGACACGCTCGTCCTAGCCGGGGGAGAGACTGGGGGGAAGCCGTTCACACGGCCAATTTAGCGGTGGCGGCGGTTGTGCGCTCCATCCGCAACTTGGGCCTGGTGGTGGCCGAAAGGAAGACGGAGGCGATCTTCCTCCACGCCAAGGGCATGAAGCCACCCCAGGCCCAAATCAGGATAGGTCAAGTCAGGGTCCCCATAGAGGCCCAGATGAAATATCTGGGCCTCACCCTGGACGGCACCTGGTGCTTCAAAGAGCATATCAACAGGCTGGTCCCCCGACTCCAGGATGATTTCAATTCAACCTGGGCAGGTTGATGCCCAACGTCGGGGGACCAGACATGAAGGCACGTCGCCTCCACGCAGGAATCTTAAATTCCGTACAATGTACGGAGCGCGTTTGGGCGGAGTCTCTGGCCGCCAGTCGCCGATCAAGCGCAGATGCGCAGAGTGGCAGAGGGGGCTGGCGGTCAGAGTTGCGAGATGCTACCGGTACCGTCTCCTGCGTGGCGGCGACAGTCCTGGCGAGCATGCCCCCCATGGAGCTCGTGGCCCCTGTCGTACAAACGTATGTACGACAGGAAGCGCGAGCTCCTAAGAAGAGGGGGGGCGGACATACCGCTCGCCAGGACGATTAGAGAGATGAAGCACCAGACTCGACGGATCCTCCTCGAAAGATGGCAGAAGGTGTCTGGCCATGCCAGATACGGAGGAGGACCGTCGAGGCCGTCCGGCCTTCCTGCTCGAGTGGTGGGAAGGGCCCTATGGGCCCTGACTTTCAGGGCGGCACAGCGTGCTCACCGGGCATGGCTGCTCGGTGAGTACCTGTGCCGAATAGGAAAGGAGCGCACAGCCGCCCCTGCCACCACTGCGGGAATGGCCACGACTCCGCGCAGCATACGCTCCAGGAATGCCCGGCCTGGAGCAACGAGCGCGGAGTCGTGGAAGGCAGTTTAGGTGGAGACCTTTCGCTCCCCAGTATAGTCCCGGGCGATAACTGGAGCGAAGAAGAAATGAGGATGCCTTCACCACATTCTGCGAAGAGTGATGCAGAAGAAGGAGGAGGATGAGGAGGAGAGACGAAGACGCAGAGGGAAGGGGAAGGCGGAAGAGCGGAGAGACCGTCACCGCAAATGGAGAGGAGGGAGGAGCAGGAGCAGGGAGGGGATGCAACTCCTCGGAGGAGGAGGAACTCCGGAGGTTGGGGGCGCAGCCACCAACCTCCGCCTCCTCCTCACCCCCCTGCTCCTCCTCCAAGAAGGAGAAGACGAGAGGAACGACTGGAGGGGGCAGTTGAGGAGCCCTCCAAGAGAGCAGAGGGGTGGCGTGGTGGTGCAATGCAGAGGCTTGCGCTCACTCAATGGCGTGGCGGCAGCCGCTTGGACGCCCGATAGTTGGTGGACTGGCACTTCACCGCCGCCACCCCTCGCTGCCCCACCAGCGGCAGCGACGGGAGAAGGGAGCGGATTGGGCCAGAGGCTAAGGCCTAGGCCCCAAACCCGCAAGACCACCGACTCCCGCGAGAACGGGCGTCGGATGAGAGTAAGGGGGGGAGAGGGTATCGGTGATTGATCAATCCACCAAATAATGCCCCTCCCCCCCCTGAAATCGCAGTCCGACAGACCAGTCGACATGCAGGAGGGGGTCACTAGGACCCCCGCCCCATTCCTCCGCGGAGGTGGGGAGAGGCCGGCGGCTAGGGGAGTAATTCCCGCAACCGCGGCGGGAGGGTGGGGGGCACCGGCGGGGGACTCCCGGCCCCAACCAGCCCTCCCAAGGTAGAGGTGGCTGGCTGGATACGGTGGTTCATAGTCAGCACACAACGTTCTTCAATGGCGGGCGCCTCGTCTGGTCGGAACGGTGTTGAGCGGCCTCGCCGGCTTTCCCCTTCCCGACACGAAGAGACTAGGCGTGAGGGTGGCGAAAGGGAACGGCCAGGTCTGAAGCGGGCCCTCGGGCCGGCTTCCCCCCTTCCCCTGGGGGAGCCCTGTCGAAGCGGACCCTCGGGTCGCTTCCCCCTCCGCCACCACCGCCCCTCCAGGGACAGAAAGGTGCAACATCTGGACTCCGGGGCCGATCAGCAGTTTTACAGCGCACCGGGGCCCCGAACTCAAGTCCTTCGCAGCGCACCCGGGGAGGTTTTAGCCGGTGGAGTCCGGCATAAACCCTGGCCTTCCCCGAGGGTCAGGGTATCATGATGGATTTCCTCCCTCGTCAAAAAAAAAAAAAACAAAAAAAGGTTATTGGGGTTAGGTTAGGTTTAGGTTTTTTTTTAGTAAATGGTTAGGTTAGGCTTAGGTTAGTAAAATGGTTTTTAAGTATGGGTTAGGTTAGGTTAGGTTAGGTTTGGGTTGGTTAGGTTAGGTTAAGGTTAGGTTTTTTTTAGGTATGGTTAGGTTTTTTAGTAATGTTGTTAGGTTAGGTTAGGTTAGGTTTAGGGTTGGTTAGGTTTAGGTTAGGTTTTTTAGTATGGTTAGGTTTAGGTTGGTTTTTTTAAGTAATGGTTAAGGTTAGGTTAGGTTAGGTTAGGTTAGGTTAGGTTAGGTTAGGGGTTAGGTTTTTTTTTAGTATGGTTAGGTTAGGTTAGGGTATGGTTAGTTAGGTTAGGTTAGTATGGGTTAGGTTAGTTGGTTTTTTTTAGTATGGTTAGGTTAAGGTTAGTAGTTAGGAGGTTTAGGTTAGGTTAGGTTAGCGTTTAGGTTAATTTGGTTGTTTTTGTATTTATAGTAGGTATAGGTTAGGTTTTTTTTTTTTTTTTTTTAGGTATGTAGTTGGTTTTTTTTTTTTTTTAGTTTTTTTTATATGGGTTAGGTTAGGTATGGTTAGTTAGGTTAGGTTAGGTTAGGTTAGGTTAGGTTAGGTTAGGTTAGGTTAGGTTAGGTTAAGGTTAAAGTTAGTATGGTTAGGTTAAGGTTAGGTTAGGTTTAGGTTTAGGCTTAGGTTAGGTTAGGTTTTTTAGTAATGGGTTGTGTTTAGGTTAGGTTAGGTTAGGTTGGTTAGGTTAGGTTTAGGTTAAGGTTAGTTTTTAGTAATGGTTAGGTTAGGTTAGGTTAGGGTTTAGGTTAGGTTTAGTATGGTTTTTTTTTTTTTAGGTTAGGTTCGGTTAGGTTTTTTTTAGTATGGTTAGGTTAGGTTAGGTTAAGGTTAGGTTAGGTAGGTTAGTATGGTTAAGGTTAGGTTGGTTTTTAAAGTATGGTTTAGGTTAGGGTTAGGTTAGGTTTAGTAATGGGTTAGGTTTAGGTTAGGTTTAGGTTAAGGTTTTTTTTTTTTTTTTAAAGTTTTTGTAGGTAATGGTTAGGTTTTTTTTTAGTTTTTTTTTTTTTTTTTTTTTTTTTTTTTTTTTTTTAGTATGGTTAGTTAGGTTAGGTTAGGTTAGGTTTAGGTTAGCGAGTTTCTTTTTTAGTAATGGTTAGTTAGGTTAGGTTAGGTTAGGTTAGTTTTTTTTTTTTTTTTATCGGTTAGGGTTAGGTTAGGTAGGTCTAGGTTTAGGTTAGGTTAGGTTTTTTTTTTTTTTTTTTTTTTTTAGTATGGTGTTAGGTTAGGTTGGTTTAGGTAGGTTAGGTTCGGTTAGGTTTAGGGTAGGTTAGGTTTAGGTTAGGTTAGGGGGTTTTTTTTTTTTTTTTTTTTTTTTTTTTTTAGTATGGTTAGGTTAGGTTAGGTTGGTTTAGGTTTAGGGTTAGGTTAGGTTAGGTATAGGTTCGGTTAAGGTTAGGTTGAGGTTAGGTTAGGTTAAGGCTTAGGGTTAGGTTAAGGCTTTAGTTAGGTTAGGGTTTTTTAGTATGTAGGGTTAGGTTTAGGTTTTTTTTTTTTTTTAGTATGGTTAGGTTAGGTTGGTTTAGGTTAGGTTAGGTTAAGGTTAGGTCTACGGTTAGGTTTAGGTTAGGTTAGGTTAGGTTAGGTTTTTTTTTTTTAGTATGGTTGGGTTAGGTTTAAGGTTAGGTTAGGTTAGGTTAGGTTAGGTTAGGTTAGGGTTAGTTAGGATTAGTTTTTTTTTTGAGTTTTTTTTTAAAGTATTGGTTAGGTTAGGTTGGTTTTTTTTTTTAGTATGGGTTAGGTTAGGTTAGTAAATGGTTAAGGTTAGGTTAGGTTAGTTTAGGTAGGTTTAGGTAGGTTAGGTTAGGTTTTTTTTAGGTTAGGTTAGGTTAGGTTAGGTTAGGTTTAGGTTTAGGTTTAGGTTAGGTTAGGTTAGGTTAGGTTAGGTTAGGTTAGGTTAGGTTGGTTTAGGTTAGGTTAGGTTTAGGTTTTTTTTTTTAGTATGGTTAGGTTAGTTTTTTTTTTAACTATGGTTAGGTTCAGGTTAGTTAGGTTTTTTTAGTATGGTTAGGTTAGTTTTTTTTTTTTTTTTTTAGTATGGTTAGGTTAGGTTAGGTTAGTATGGTTAGGTTAGGTTTAGGTTAGGTTGGTTTAGGTTAGGGTTTTTTAAGGTTATGGTTAGCCCGAAGGTTAGGTTAGGTTAGGTTAGGTTATGGTTAGGTTAGGTTTTTTAGTATGGTTAGGTTAGGTTAGGGTTTTTTTTTTTTTGTATGGTTAGGTTAAGGTTTAGGTTAGGTTAGGTTAGGTCCTTTAGGTTAGGTAGGTTAGTGTAGGTTTTTTTAGTATGGTTAAGGTAGGTTAGGTTAGTATGTTAGGTTTTTTTTTTTTTTTAGTGAATGTTAGGGTTTAGGTTTAGGTTAGGTTTTAGTATGGTTTTTTTTTAGGTATGGTTAGGTTAGGATAGGTTAGTTAGGTTTCTTTTTTTTTTTAGGTAATGGTTTAGGAGGTTAGGTTAGGTTAGGTTAGGTTAGGTTAGGTTAGGTTAGGTTAGGTTAGGTTAGGTTAGGTTTTTTTTTTTTTTTTTGTTTGGTTAGGTTTTTTAGTATGGTTTAGGTTA